TAATGCTCTTAATATAATATAGAAATGATTGAATTAACCTTGGCTCATAGCATACGATACTGTTGTATTCATGATCACATGATGCCCATGGTAAATGGGTCGTGAATGATTTCAGAAAGAAATGCAATGACCAGGCAATAATTACGTTAATAAAAAAAATCCGTATAAAATGCTATCATTATTACACAGTATCCTATTCCTGAAATTCATAAATTGAATTTCATCTTTTATCACAAACAATTATCGCTTATCCAATTATTTATCATCTTTTCTTATCCCTTATTTTTGAAGACTTTATCTAGTCATTTGTGATTTTCACTTATTATTGAACATATTTTCACCTTACCATTTATCATTTCTTATGCCTTATCACTGCTTTCTTCATCTTACCATTTATTATTCTTACCATTTATTTTACCATTTATCTTACCATTTATTCCTTCCATTATCTTACCATTTATTACTTCCATTATTTTACCATTTATTAACTAAATGTTTCATCGACTTATTTAAAAATTGCCACTGAACCAGAAGAAAGACGAAACAACTTTCTAATCTTTGTCCAACAAATCTTTATCTTTTGGTTGACTATTTCTTCAACATTGGAATTTCAACAAAAAATTCCAAAAATTTGAAAATTTCTAACCCTTGAAAAGAGGACAAATCCAGCCCCAGGTGGTAACTGCTCCTTTTCTGTAATATTGGCCAAGCGATAACTCCATATAAAACAATGGCACACCAGCAAAAAGTACCATTAATGTATACGGTATTAAGAAGGCTCCTGAAATAGTCTGATTCAATGAGCTTTTGTAATTAATTATTTTATCCAAATATTCATTTTTTTTCAACAATTTATCAGATGCGTAATTCAAGAATGAATCTTTAAGCTTTAAGTCTAGAGATAGTTGCCTGTGATACTGATTTCTGTATTACGCAAGCTTTAATCTTAAAAACAAACCTCCACCATTTTTGAAGCATAAATACGGAAAGCGCCAAACATTGGCCAAATCGACGGCAAAGCCAATTACAGATAACAAAAAATCAGCTTTTCGGGTCCAAGTCTCTCTAGGCTCATCATTTTCCACCCAGTCCTTCCGTATTAATTGTTTATCTTCAGCTTTTTTTAGTTTTGTCATTTCTTGAAACTTTGTATCAACATTTATGTCATCCAATATCAATCGTTCCTCTTTTCCTAAGAAATATTACTATTTTTTCTTTTGAAACCGAATATTTACTTAAATATTCCATATGATAATCATCGATTTTGTGCTTTATTTTTATTAAATTTCTTCATTTCAATCCTTAACTAAGGAGGAAAACTATAACTCAAATTCATTCAACTATTCTAAATAGCACCAATCTAGAAATACAGAAAAAAAAAAAGCAAACGAAATATTATATATTCGATCAAATACACTATATATAAGCATTTATTATTTAAATACTAAATATGGATTCAATAATATCAAACATCTATGTATACAATGCAAAATAAGTATTTAAATATACCGTGTACTTGGCATACTGATTATTGAATATTTTAATGAAATTGATTTTGTAAAGAAGAAAAAAAGTATAAAAGATTACGGTGAATGGAAAAAATATTCTTTATGCCGTAATTATAAGTACAGGTGAAGTTTTGATAAATTGAAAAAAAAAAAGAAAAAAGGGAAAAAGAGAAAACTTTAACATATATGAGATTAAATATTGTCATTAAAATCAAACTTATTAAGTTTTTAAAAGTTTCAATGCGATAAGCATAAAGAAGTTCATCATTATGCGATAATCTTAAAGCAGTTATGTTCTAAGTTTACTTTTAACAATTTGCAAAACTTTTTTTGAAATTTCATTAATTTATTTTTAATTTGTTATGAGAAATTGATAGGTCACTGCTTTTCCTTCTCACTGAAATCAATTCTCTTACTTTTCACTTGGAATAAATATTTAATGGTCTTTGAAGTTCCGGAATTACTGTTGTTTATGTAACCTTCTCTTAAAATTTGCTCATGTTAAGAATAATTAGACTAATAATAGAAGTTCAGACTTTCATTGCTTAACTTGATGCCATTTTTTGGATTTTTTTTGAAGGCCTCAAAAGCAGAGTACATTAATATATTATAATTTGTTATTTTATGCAACATTTTTATTTTTCCTTTTTTGCAAAAGCATACCAAATAATATAATTTAATTAAGCAAACTACCAAGACTATCTCAAACAGGAAGGTTAAAGTTCGGTTGCATTTTACATTCTTTTGTCATCACTCCCGACAAAGGATAATGTTATCAATAAGCTTTCTGCAGTATTATTGTTCAAATTTTCTTAAAAAAAAATTATATACATTCTGGGGAAATGAAATGAGAATTTAATTTCAGCCTTTTAATTTCAACCGTATACTTGTCCTATTTCTCAGGAAAAAAAGTTCTTAAAAGCATTGTTTTAATTAAGCAATAAGTCTAGGAGAAGATAACAAATAATTTCATGAGATACAAGCAGTAACACATCTCTATCTGCAAAATTTACTCATTCCATTGATATTGATATGATAGAAGGACTTCACATTAGTTAATTAATTAGAACGATTTTCACAAATACATTTGCAATTATTCATAATTAATTTTAAGTCGTTGTAATTCTATTCTTGCAATTAGAATAAAATTAGCACTTATAAAAATATATATAATTTATAAATTATTTCTTCGATTAATCATAATTACCTTAAAGAAGAAAACAAACGAAAAATTACCGATTTGATTTATTTCATTTAAAAATGTTCAAAAAATTTTATTCTAAATTTGAACTTACTTTTAATATTGCGGACTAGTTCTTCACCCATATTTAACAATAATATGAAAATGTTTTGTGATAGAGCGAAGTGTCAGTGAATAAAATAGTTGTGGCAAACGTATATGTAAACTTGAAAAAACCCGCTTGCAAGAAACAAAAAAAAAAAAACCTTAAAACTTTAATAACCGGAAGGCTATTATACATGTTTTTAGGGCAATCTTACCAGAAAAAAAAATTGTTTTTTCTTTTTTAGTTGATAATGAGAAATCTGAAATAAATTACATCCATCCGTAATTTCAGCAAATATTTTCAACAACAATTTTATCTTTATTTACAGTAATTTCATTCATTCATCAATTTTTTTAGGCTTTTTTTTCCTTTTTCTTCCCACAACTCTCTTTAAAACAAAAAAAAAAAAAAATCAGAATGCTCAATTCGTATATTGTTTTTCCTGTCTTTTTATTTAAATAATTGTAATTTTTTCACAAATCGTTTTTATACTTTCCACTTACTTTCTTCTCTTTCTTTTTTTCTTCTTTCCATTTTTCAAACAAATCTTTCACACTTCATTTGTTTCCTTTCTTTTTAGAATATATAAAAATAATTTCACTCATAAAAATATCTCTAAAACACTTCTACAACTAATTAACAAGGACATATTTGAAACTTACAGATAACTGGAAAAAAGCCAAGAATGATTAGATAACAATAATTAGACTTGCAAATGATAAGCTCGGCTAGTAGTTTTCTGAAGCTTATCTATGACTAATGTTTGTTTAAATATTGCAAATATTTACGGATAAGAAGTGTTAGATTTTTTCTTACTATTTTTTTCTCAGGAGAAAAAAGTAAATCTCGTCTCACAATTGCCGCCATGCAAAACGCTGACAGAAAAGTAATTACGCTTTTCGTAAATTGTCATCTTGAATAGGCTCAAATATATCAGTAAAAAGACAGGAACTGTGACAATTGACACATCTTTGTTAACGACTTGGCATGGAAACCAGCGCATTTCGTAATTCGACGAACTTTCGGAAATCCTTTTTTGCATTTTACCGGTTTTGAAAATATCTTCAATGCAAAAACTTGTATTGCAGAAGTAATAGCTGGTTAGCAAAAGTAAGGTTCATTTGATCTTTGTCGAATGATACAGGATTTTGCAGGCTAATTTATTACTTCAACTCCCGAAGTACTGGTTGTGCGACGCGTAGCCAAATGTGTGCAAAGATGAATT